GGAGAACTTAAGACATACAAGTGATGGGATGGTCCACTAGGGAGATCTTAAGACATTCAAGTGATGCGGTGGTCCACTAGGGAGAACTTATTATATATACAAGTGATAGAATGGTCCACTAGGGAGAACTTATTATATATACAATAGATAGGATGGTCCACTAGGGAGAACTTAAGACATACAAGTGATGGGATGGTCCACTAGGGAGATCTTAAGACATGCAGTGATCGGATGGTCCACTAAGGAGAACATATATACAAGTGATAGGATGGTCCACTAGGGAGAACTTATTATGTACAATAGATAGGATGGTCGCCTAGAAAGAACTTAAGACATACAAGTGATGGGATGGTCCACTAAGGACAGCTTCAGACATACAAGTAATGGGATGGTCCACTAGAGAGATCTGAAGACATACAATGTACGGTCCACTAAGGAGAACTTAGACATTCAAGTGATTGGATGGTCCACTAGGAAGAAAACTTACATGGAAGACATTCAAGTGATGGGATGGTCCATTAGAGAGATCTGAAGACATACAATGTATGGTCCACTAAGGAGAACTTAAGACATTCAAGTGATGCGATGGTCCACTAGGGAGAACTTATTATATATACAATAGATAGGATGGTCCACTAGGGAGAACTTAAGACATACAAGTGATGGGATGGTCCACTAGGGAGATCTTAAGACATACAAGTGATCGGATGGTCCACTAAGGAGAACATATATACAAGGGATAGGATGGTCCACTAGGGAGAACTTATTATGTACAATAGATAGGATGGTCCACTAGGGAGAACTTATTATATGTACAATAGATAGGATGGTCCACCAGAAAGAATTTAAGACATACAAGTGATGGGATGGTCCGGTCCACTAGGGAGAAGTTATTTTATATACAAGTGATAGGATTGTCCACTAAGGAGAACTTAAGACATTCAAGTGATGAGATGGTCCATTAGGGAGATCTTAAGACATACAAGTGATGGGATAGTCCACTAGGGAAAACTTAAGACATTCAAGTAATGGGATGGTCCACTAGAGAGATCTTTAGACATACAACTTATGGTCCACTAAGGAAAATTTAAGACATACAGGTGATCGGATGGAAACTTCAGACATACAAGTGATGAGATGGTTCACTAAGGAGAACTTAATACATACAAATGACTGATAAGAGGGTCCATTAAACTAGGGAGAACTTATGACATACAAGTGATGAGGTGGTCCATTTGGGAGAACTTAAGACATGTAGAAATATCTTTATTTGAAATACATCAAATTGAACAATAGATATTTTCTTCAAAGTGATACAGGTCTTAGAAAAACACAACTGCCAGATGACCTTATAAATAATTAAGAATTCATTAAATACTTTCGATTTTTTTTTAATATTACACGAAAAGCTATCAATGAAAGCTCCATTTAAAACATCAATGATACATATTTAAGTAGAACTACCTTTCTTCTTGTGTCAAAATATCTTTTAGCAAGTTTACTGTAAAAAAATTTTTTTTTAACTTTCTGACTAATTTTATTTAGAATCGACCAACTTCTGTAAAAAAGTCCGATTTTTTAGTAACAAGGACTAGTTCTTTATCTCATGCCAGAAGCTCAAAATAACAACATGCGACACGCGACGGAAATATATTTCCCGCTTGATTTTGTAAATTTAACTAAAGAAACAAACCCATTTGTGTCGTTCCGTACATGTCGTTCTTCATATTAGGCCTAATGATTTTTACATTTCGCTCGAAACATTCTCGTTCCTCGTGTGCCTAGAGGTATCCCGAATAAAGAAAAACGTAATTTCCGAATGTAAAATATCATCAAGGCGGGAATTTTCGACAAACTTTGCTATCATCGTCAGCTAAGTCAAAAGTATGGTTATAATACTAATGTATATATACGAATTTATGTCCAGCTAAGTGATTAGATTTTACTTCAAAATTATTTAAATAATTGTCCAGTCCAATGTCAAATTCCCTGATTGTGGTTGTTTGTACGACCTCGTCAGGAGTACTGCTCCAAACGTTAACAGACCGTAGACCAAAGGAGTATTTGCGGATGTCAAGCTATTTGCAATACTTTTTCTTTCACTTCCCTGAATGCCCTCTTGTTCGCCGTCTAGTGTCTTTATCGAAGATTCCTGTGGCAACTGCACTATATCATGGAAGTCATGTCGCCTCTCAGACTTCGATATGCAAGTGTGCCAAGGTGTTTTTTAGACGGTCCGTGTAGGATAAATCCTTCAATCCTGGTATTGAGATTGTTGACCTTCGTTGTACTCTTTCAATCGGAGTCCATACACTTACCGCATACTCTAAGTGTGGACGAACGAGTGCCTTGAAGTAACTTGATCTAAATATAAAAATGACCTTCTTATTGAACCAACACTTTATACTCAACAAAATGCGTATTTCGTTTTATTTCTATGAATTTAAAACAAATAATATGCTGTTTTAACACAAGATCGTACAATCATTACCAACAAGTTTTGAAAGGATTTAATTTTCACTACTACTGCTTGCGTCATGCCGTTACCTGCTTTCTTACAAAACACACATCTTGATTTTGTTTTTCCTGCACCTATGAATGGCAAAATGAGATATATATTTTTTAATAGCTTGTCTTACACGTGTATTGCGATCCTTACTTTGTGTTGCAGTCTTTTATTCTTGCATTTCAAACAAATTAGACTGTCCTCAACGATGACTTTTATCGTATTTATGGTAATATTTTTGCGATAATAACACTCCAAATTTTTTGCTTGGCCTTTTTTATTCTGACTGAACAATCCCGCATTTTTTGTATTTTAGCATCATTTGTTTGTGTTTGAATATTAAATAGATAAAAATTACTAGTGCCAATTGGAGGGTGAAACAGTTCATAAATATCTTTTAAAATGATGTTTACAAAGCGTAGCTATATACTGTACACGTGTACAGTGATTTGTTGACATGATTCCAAAGAGGATAAATCAATAGGTATATTATTAAAACCTAAATAAAATGTACCATTGATCTGAAAAAAATATTTTATGATTTCATTAAGGAAAAAGATTACTAAAGGAGGACCACTTTTCCGGAATACGATTTGTTTTTGCATATTACATCACGGAATAAAAAAAAAAAAACTTATTCAAAAGTTGGTCCTCGGATACGTATTTAAGTCTGGGAAACCCCATCACTTGCATAGATATAGTGAATATGGCTATATTTGCAGTATCATATTAACAATACCTAATATCTCAGCAGTTCAAAAATTATATTCAATTGGGTTTATATCTATTCTATGCATTTTCGCTGCTAGAAATTATTTACTTATTAATATTTTTTCCGTTTTCATAAATGCCGACGACTTAGGGAAATATGGGCAGTTTTCCGCCATAGCTCTTTCCCATGTGTTATGAAAATATTTATTTGCTTTTTCAACCGTGGTTTTCGATGGTTACCCATTGTAATCAATTCTTATATCAGCCAACATTCCCTGTCTCCTGCATACACACACGCAAGCACTCATACATGACGTTAAACAAAATTCAACCAAACCAAATCATAGCAACCATATGGGGCACACTTTTGAAAACACTTTGTGTTATACAAAATTGACTACGAATGCAAGGAGTTAATTTTGGTACAATGGGAGTCATTATACATAATAATTAGTGAAAATACTAAAGAAAAAGAATATATATATATATATATATATATATATATATATATACAGTGGCGGATCCAGAGACCTATCTGGGGGGCTTTCCAAATTTCCTGGGAGGGTTTCCATGTGGGGAAAAATTGAGGAAAATGGTGAAAATACATGATTTTTAAAGAAAAATCTCAGGGTGGGGGGGTTTCCTGAAGCCCAAAAAACCCCTCTGGATCCGCCACTGTATATAGTACATATACATCGGGTCGGGACTCCCTTGTTTATTGAGTACGCTAACGCGTTCCACGCCACCATCAAATTCACAGCGGATATCTCCACGGAGAGCAACACATTTTTGGACACCAGTTCCACTCTGATTTATGGTAAGATTAGTACGGACCTCCACTGTAAACCTACTGACACACACCAGTATCTCCTCCCATCCAGTTGTCACCCCTCGCAACCCACGAGAAGCATACCCTACTCCCAAGCTCTGCGCAAACTAAAAGAGGCGACCAAGTGTGAACCCCCTGCTGTGACTGTTAGATCCACCGCAGAACTGAGAGGCGACTAATGAGGCATTCCGTAGCAAATTGAGTTTTTTCACATTTACCGGGCCAGATTTCCACATGCACATGTTCCACGTTTTTGACTCGTTGACTCACTTTATGTGATAGTGCATCTTGCGCAAGAATAGGTCCTCTACATCAGCGTTCCTTGTCCGCGATGCTCTCAGCCTAATTGCTACCTTCGGCTGTCTTTAGCCGAGGGGACTATTGCTTTTATATAATAGCTATATTTTCAATTATAGTATATCAGTTCTATCTTCTTGTAATATGACGTATATGTGCATGTAACTGTTATGTTTCACTGTGTCTTGAAAAAGGAACGGATCACTCCGAAAATTTGACAACCCAGAGACGTATAATATATTATATTAATATTATATATTATACGTCTCTGGACAACCTAAACTTGTCCACACTGTTGGAATTACTTCTTTGCCCCATATAATAAAAGCTATAAATATTCCAATATGGGGCAAAGAAGTAATTACTTATATATATATAGTACAGATGTCCTTTTGGCTTTTGTTTAATCAGTTTGGTGCCTACATTTCACCTAATCAGATGAACTAGTTCAAACTAATAAATAAAAATGTTTTGAAGTATTAATAAATTATCCCTCGTAGTTATTAAAAATAAAGATGACTTCAGATTCAACCAGGTCCACGTAATCAAAATAACATTGCAACGTGGTCTTAGGTGAAAGTGAAAGTATGATCTATCATAAAATTAGAGGAGCTCCGAATGAATTTGGCGCAATATGACGTCACTTCCGACAACAAATATGGCTTCTCCTTCCTTGGATTTTCGGTCTCCCTTTAATAATGTTTTGAATAATCTACCCCAAGGGCACGAGAAAGCTTTTAAACAGGCCATATATACAACAGCAGCTAATTTATTAATTTTGTTCGCCGTTGGAGCTGCGGTAGCTGTGTATTTTATATTGGAAGTGTTTTTAAGACCGCTGTTATGGGCAGTGTTATGTGGAACTTTCTTGTATCCAGTGAAACACTCGTTGACCAGCTGGCTTCGCAGATGGTTGCATGGACTACAGGCTACAAACACACCTTTCGTTTTAGGAGTAGCTTATATTCCAATCAAAGCTATAGACAGAGTTTATGGAAATGTATTTAATAAATTTATAAAACACATACGTCTGATTTTAGGCGGCTTTGGAGGGATTGTGCTGGCGTATCTTCTGTTGCATTTTGGCCCAGTGAAGAACATATTGTACGCATTTAGATCTGTATTTTACTTCATTTATGACGTTCTTGGATACTTTACATCGTTTTGGGTGAGCATATATGTGTATTACGATTTGTTTCTGTAAAGTGTATTGCGTTGTGTGTGTTACAAGCTTAGCAGACGACGCATTCAACATCTAAAGGTCGCGTCAGCATTATGCTGGTGCATGTATATGTATTGACTGTATTTAAATGCGATACAGAAGAACTTAAATGTGAAACTTTGCCAAACAAAATGACTGCTGCATACATATATCAGGTGGTCTGTAAGTAATATACAGCTTGTACAGTGTATATATAATTACAACATGCAGTTGTACATGTAGGTGTATACATGCACATTTGTACAAGTAGATACTTGCAGACAGCTCTAAAATTAGCATGTTCTATGTATACTGTAGAGTTTGGCAACTCTTTCGTGAATAATAGAACTGATATACGTTCTTTTTTAGTCTGTCATCACATGTGTGGTCATAGAATCATTAGATTGCACTGATTATTTACTTTTACAGATATGGACCTTATTGGTAGGTTACCTGTTAGCAGTGATATTCTTGTGGTCACCAGACACCAGGCGCTATTTGCGATATCTATCCATCCCCGTCTGGATTGTCCTCACTCTCCATGTAGCTACAGCAGCTGGATATCTCAGAGTCCCACTCTTACTTTTCCTCGTTGTTGTCATAGTCATTGGATTTGTGGCAGAAATAAATGAAGCAAGACTCTCTGAAGGTTTGTTTGTCAATGATTCAGAGGAGGGTAGTGATGCCTTAGGACATTTTGAATATTAAATGTGTTCTGTTTAAATTGAAGATTTGAAAATATAATTCATTTACAGGATATAATATCATATCACTCATACATCAAAATTTGAGAAAAATGATTAAGGTAGGGTGTTCCAGCACTCTTTGTTGTATACGTATCTCCAAAGAAGAAGGGGGTTCCAGTATTTTCAGACTTTTCTGGCATGGAATTGCTTGGCAAAGACTAATTTCAAAAGAAAAAATGTATAATAATTAAATTTCCAATTTCACCGAAACCTCTTATTCCCCTACAACGATTTTTCCCTGGACCTCCTATTATAAATCAGGAAGCTTAACCACTGCACCACTGATGTTATTTGTTATATGTTAATACTTTTCTGCAACGCTACTGGAGATAATTTTAAAATGTTCTAATTCACTAAAAAGGCACACAATCTATGATTGTCTTTCTATGAATATAGAGGAAATGTCATTAATTTTAAATTAAAGCAAAATAACATTTTAAGGCCTGTATATATTTATGAAGAAGAAAAGTGGTGGGACACTCAACATTAAGAGTCAATATATAGTAACCAGAGCTTTTGCCAGCTGTTTTTGGGAAAGGGTCCCTGAAATAGCATCGGCATTTGGCTAAAAATGGGAAATATCATCAGTGTTCCCACATGAACTGGCTTGGGAAAATATTATAAATTTGGAAAAAATAAAACCTGCAATGTGATCATGATAAGCAATATGTTTTCTTCACTAGAACTGAATCTAACAGTAAAATGTATAGCAATAAATAAACACATAAATTTTCAGTGTTTTTTAGCTCACCTGGTCCGAAGGGCCAAGTGAGCTTATGCCATAGTGCGTCGTCCGTCCGTCCGTCCGTCCGTCCGTCCGTCCGTCCGTCCGTCCGTCCATTGTCCGGCGTCAATATTTTACTTTAAACAACTTCTTCTTAATAACCAAGAGGCCTAGGGTGGTGATAGTTGGCGCAAACTGGAATGAAGGGCTACCAAGTTTGTTCAAATAAATGACCTTCACCTATTTTCAAGGTCACAGGGGTAAAATATGTTAAAAACTTGAAGCAACTTCTTCTGAATAACCAAAATGCCCAGAGAGATGATAATTGGCCAGAAGCATGCTGGGATGAAGGGCTACCAAGTTTGTTCAAATGAATGACCTTGACAAATATTCAAGGTCGCATGGGTCAATTGTCTTAAAAAATCTTTAAACAACTTCTTCTAAATAACAAAGAGGCCCAGGTTAATGATATTTGGCCATTAACATGCTAGGATTGAGGACTACCAAGTTTCTTAAAATGAATGACCTTGACAAATATTCAAGGTCACAGGGGTCAAATATGTTCAAAACATTTAAACAATTTCTTCTGAATAACCAAGAGGCCTATAGAGTGCTTAGATTTGGCCAGTAACATGCTGGGATGAAGGGCTACCAAGTTTGTTCAAATAAATGACCTTGACTTATATTTAAGGTCACAGGGGTCAAATATGTTCAAAACATTTAAACAACTTCTTCTGAATAACCAAGAGGCCTAGGGTGCTTACATTTGGCCAGTAACATGCTGGGATGAAAGACTAGCAAGTTTGTTCAAATAAATGACCTTGAATTATATTCAAGGTCACAGGGGTCAAATATGTACAAAACCTTTAAACAACTTTTACTGAATACCCGAGAGGCCTAGGGTGATGATAGTTGGCCAGTAACATTCTGGGATGAAGGGCTACTAAGTTTGTTCAAATAAATGACCTACACCTATTTTCAAGGTCACAGGGGTAAAATATGTTAAAATCTTTAAACAAGTTCTTCTGAATAATCAAAATGCCTAGGGTGATGATATTTGGCCAGTAACATACTGGGATGAAGGGCTATCAAGTTTGTTTAAATGAATGACCTTGACTTATATTCAGGGTCACAGGGGTCAAATATGTTTAAAACCTTTAAATGACTTCTTCTTAATAAACAAAAGGCCTAGGGTGATGATATTTGGCCATTAACATGCTGGTATGAAGGGCTACCAAGTTTGTTCAGATGAATGACCTTGACAAATATTCAAGGTCACAGGTCCAGTAACATGCTGGGATGAAGGGCTACCGAGTTTGTTCAAATAAATGACTTTGACTTNCCAGTAACATGCTGGGATGAAGGGCTACCAAGTTTGTTCAAATAAATGACCTTGACTTATATTCAAGGTCACAGGGGTCAAATATGTTTAAAACCTTTGAATGACTTCTTCTTAATAAGCAAAAGGCCAAGGGTGATGATATTTGGCCATTAACATGCTGGTATGAAGGGTTACCAAGTTTGTTCAAATGAATGTCCTTCGCCCATACTCAAGGTTACAGTGGTCAATATATGTTTAAATCTTTAAATGATTTGTTCTGTATAACCAAAAGGTCCAGGGTAATGATATTTTGCTAGAAGCATGCTGGGTTTGAAGACTATAAACTCTGTTCAACCTAATGTCCTTGTTCGACATTCAAGGTCACAGGTGTCATATGTTTAAATCTTTTAATAAGTTTTTGCGAATCAAACACTGATATTCTGCCTGTAGTTGTATTTTAGTCCACTTTTAAGATTACAAGTGTGAGATTAAAACCAGGTGAGCGATTCAGGCCCATTGGGCCTCTTGTTTTAATTCAGTTTCAAGTTTTTGTTATTTATGTATTTTGAATACTCCATCATGAATAGTAATACTTTGGAAGTTGCACATATAGTGACTTGAAACTTTTATAAACATGATTTTTAATCTAAATGGGAAAATTAAGACTGAAATTGGAAAGAAAAAATTAGCGTTATTTTTCAATTGGGAATGGGTCCCTGTATTGGACCCTATAAACATCTTGCCAAAAAACTAGTAATTGAACATGTAGTATGGTGCTGCCTTCATTATCACTGATGACATGATGTAAACTCAGGTTTCATTTCAATAATCAACATGTTCTTCATTATAAAAAAATCAATTAGTGGCATTACTGTTAAATGCATACTTGCCAACTCTCCCTATTTTGGAGAACACACATAATCTCCCCCTTGGTCATTTAAAAAATTACAAACCAGTGTCACTGTTCAGACCTAGATGATGCTCCTGTCTATTTTCTTTATTGTATATATATATATGGTTTCAATTTGGGTTAAGATGTACATCATATATGTCTTTCATGACATGACTTTATTTTTATATGGAATGACATAGATTGTTGAATGTCATTAGATACATATGTGTAGCCCATCTATTATTTCAAACAGAATTGAATTATAATGGATATTTAATACTCAACAACAATGTTGATTAATATGATAGTGATTTAGGTAAGAACTACTTTGCTGCAGAACTTATAATGTGCAATATTAGTGTTTATACCATTTGCAATATCTCACTGCAGGAAGGTCTGTACCTCAAACCCCAGTGGAAGCAGCATGGATATTTCTGGCTGGTGATTCAGAAACAGAACAGCCTGATGTAGCACAGAATTTGGAAAAGGATGAAAAGACTGACAACCAAAGTAGTGACGTTACAGAATCTCACGAGGCTGAAACAGGTAGAGAATTATATATTAACAATCAAATTGATTTTTGTATAAATATCAAATTACATTTTTATATGCCCGTCAAATTTGACAGGGGGGAATTATGGTATGGCATTGTCTGTCCGGCGTAAACTTTTGTTTGTCCGGCAATCTCCTCCTACATTTTTTAAGGAGTTGAAAGTTAGTTTGGTTTACAGTTCTGGTTCTCCTCATAAGCATGAAAGGAAGACATTTATATTTTGTGAAGCATTCTATAAAAATTAATTTGAATTATCCATTTTTATACGCCCCCTCAATTTATTTATTTTTGTCCGGCGATCTCCTCCTACATTTTTCAGCGGATCTCTTTGAAACTGGGTAAACATTATAATCATGGTATGAAGTTGTGTCTCCCTTTAAAGAATTTTGATTCATCATTTTCCTCAAAAGTTATTGCCCTTTGTTCATTTCAGTATTTGATTTTTGTCCGGCAATCTTCTCCTACATTTTTCAGTGGATCTCTTTGAAACTTGGTAAACATTATAATCATGGTATGAAGTTGTGTCTCCCCTAACAGAATTTTGATTCGACGATTTTTGCAAAAGTTATTGCTCTTTGTTTATTTTAGTATTCGATTTTTGTCCATCAATCTCCTCCTTTTCAACGGATCTCTTTGAAACTTGGTATACATTATAATCATGATATGAAGTTATGTCTCCCTTTAAAGAATTTTGATTTGACAATTTTTGCAAAAGTTATTGCCCTTTGTTCATTTCAGTATTTGATTTTTTTGTCCGGAGATCTTCTACATTTTTTGACAGATTTCTTTGAAACTTAGTAGGCTAAATAATCATGATATGTTGTTGGGTTTCCATGAAAAGAATTTTGATACAACTATTTTTGCAAAAGTTATTGCTCTTTGTTCATTTCAGTATTTGATTTTTTTATCCGGAGATTTTCTCCTACATTTTTATAGCATGTCAGCTAACCACTCTTTGAATGATGCAGATCTTATTTCAATGTAAGAAAGTATTTAACACTATACGGCATTCGACGGGCGTATATTGTTCCGCCACGCAGTACTCTTGTTTTTCTGTGGGAAAAGTCCACAAATTTAATGTTTTATTTTCAGAAAAGACAAAAGAATCCACTGATGTCAAAAAGCCATCTTATTTACCAGTGCGAAGCCCCACAGTATCATCAGCCTCTTCTCCACAGAAGAAACAAGACCGACCAAAACTACAAATGAAGGAATCTGCAGAAAAGTCTCAAGAAAAATCAGAAGTGAAAGCACGATCTCTCATTGACAATTGCTTTATCTACCTCTTCTGGCTCTTGGTGCTTACACGGATATGGCTCAACATCTGGGTCGTCCAGCTGCTGTTTCCCATAGGGCTTGTTATGTGGCTGTTCAAAAGTTTTGGTGAGTTAGATTCAAGTTTGTAAGAGTGTTCTCCCTGTATCTTCACACCTGAATTTTGAGCCCCAATGTATCAAAATTGGAAATCTCCCACAACAAATCATTCACTCATTCAGTTTTGCAATCATGCTAAGATCAATTTCTCAAGCCAAGATTAGCAGGACCTCTTTGGGAGTCTGATCAATGGGATGCAAATTATTGACACGACTCTTGTTGAAATGTGAGTGGGTAGGTAAATGATGAATTTGTTTATATATTCAGTGATACAGCTTGGGAGTGGAGGAATATTTGGTGAGAAGGTTGAGTTGGTGAAGAAAGTACTGAAGAAATGGCTAGTCAGTAGGCGTGAGGTTCTGACACCACGATGGATCAGGGGAATAGCCAAACTGGTTCTACGCGGCGACCATAAGGTAAGTCTCTCTGAAATTGGTCGAGTGGCAATTCTACTGTGTAAGTAATCGGAGCAAATTCATCAACAATTTTCAGACAATGGTAATGTACGTGAATAACTCTCACATGTCAAAGACATGGGACAAACAACGCAAGAGACCAATTCCGTCTTTGCGTATTGCAGAGTTATCTTCTCTTGTGAGCAGGTATTGATTATTACGTCATTGGTTTGTGTGAGAAAATTACATCGTTTTCTCAAAAATTGATGACGTTACTCTCACAAACAAATGACGTAACAATCAATACCTGCTCACAAGAGAAGATAACTCTTTAATACGCAAAGACGGAATACCACACCTGTTTAATCCACACCAGTACTGTACAGTTTGTATATCATAGTCACTTCTTGAGGCTTGTAAATTGTTATACCTCACTTTTCCTTTAATTATCCCTGTCTCTGCTATACAGATTGCATCATTGCTGTTAATAGACTCTGGTAGCTCGTTGTTGATCCTCTCCACAATTCCCTCAAATATGATCCTTGTACGATAACATTGTTATGAAACAACTTACATTAATCATTATATTAAATACTTTTGTTGGCCGGTTAGAAGCATGTAGGGTTCTTAATTGGGATTACCAGCAGAAACTCCACATAGTCGGGAGGTGACTTTATACCTTTTTACATCCATTAGGGGAATTGAACCCTGGCCATCTTATGAAAAGCAAGTACACTATCCACTGCACACCCAACCATCCCTCCTTGTTTCATCTTTACCTTTTGCATCATGTTAAGAAATATTTTTTGCTCCCTGTTTCAGACATCTAGATTAACATTCCTCATCAATCCCTCATGTGTGGTTTTGTCACTTTTGTACAGATTGTATCGGTGCTAGAGCAATCCTTAGACAAGACGACCAGTGTCCTGTTCATCCTGTTGCTGTTATTTGGGACGGCCATATTGATGATCTTCGGTGCTATACAGGTATGTATATGTCATCCAATGTTGAACTATGATCAACAAAAAAAGAATGTTCTGGTGTATTTGTTTATTTTTTAAAAGGTTTTACACATATATCAGTACATACAATCAATTTTTGTCCAGATAAAATGACATAGAGACTCACTATTTTCATACATATGTAAAAGATGTGCATTGATTAGGTTGCCTTACAAGCGTCAGCTGTAGGGAATTTCCCTTTAGCTCAGAGGTAGAGCATCGAGCTGGAAAGCCAAGGGTCGCAGGTTCGGGCCCCAGCGATAGCACTATCTTTATCACTTTTTCTTGTCCTATTACAAATTGGTGCCATTCAAGGTAGGAGAACCCTTGGCGGGGGGTCAAAGAACCTGGATTGGTGTTAGAAAAAAGGGGGGAATAGTGTAAAAGATGTGAATTGATTAGATTGCCTTACAAGCGTCAGCTGTAGGGAATTTCCCTTTAGCTCAACGGTAGAACATCGGGCTGGAAAGCCAAGTGTCGCGGGTTCGAGCCCCAGCGACGGCACGATCTTTATCACTATTCCTAGTCCTATTACACATACAACATGCTTTTGTTTCAAAATTGTATTAAACGGAATCAACTACTTTAAAGCTCAATCCTTTATAAGTGATCATATTGTATACTATATAAGATAGAAACAGATTAAAAGTAAAGGAAGAGAGAAAGAATACAAAAACATATATATATAAAATGGAAAGGAAAAGACATGGACAAAATAACAGGGAAAATGGAAGAATGAGTAAGAAAAATAAACACTTTGCAATTTAGATGAGTTTTTATACAAATCTCTTGGGATGTGATTATAGATTTTGATATTTTTTTCATACCATCACATCAAACGTGTATACATGTAGGTACATCATTGGAAGGTGGTATATATATATGACCCATTATAAAATAAGGTCACTGTGACCTCAGTTTGACTTTTGACCTTAACCCCAAGTCCTAACATACAGTGTAATGCAGGTTTCCACAACATATCTTGATTCGCTGTTCATGAAATGGCTTCAAACTCTGTAGATATGAGAGTATCTGGGGTAGCTGTGACGCTCACCCTTCAAGTTCAATCTAGTTTAATGTTTTTGTTTGAGTTGTTTCCAAAAGTGAAATATATTGACTTAAACTGATACATCTACAGATAGCATAAGTAATTACATGATTATACTTGTCCCCTTACAGATCCAACAAGAAAGTATGCTCTTTGTGAAAATGACCAGCGAAGTGATGAATAATACTCTCAACTCTGAAATCAACTCGTGAGTATTGTTGTGAGCAGGCTAAAGGCTCAACGTATAATATTACTGCTATTGGTTATTAACAGATTAATTGGTAGCTTTAAGAAAAGATGACAATGATGTCACCAATATTTCAAAATACCTTATGTAGTGATGGGTATACAGATGTATTACGAAGGTTAGTGTCTGGGGCCAGTGGAGATTCTATAGCAAATTGCATTTTGTTTGTTTACTGAACTGTGAAGGGCAAGATAGAATGCACTGGCTTCCAGTTCCATATGTGTTACACTGGCTCAGGGGGAAAATAATACGGCAACAACAACACAAACAAAAGAGGTAGAAATTCTATGATGTAGATATCGTAAATATAATGTTAGAAAGCAAATCATAATTGAACTACTCAGATCAAATTAACAATTCCACACAAACCTTTATTACAAGATTTTTCATCTATTGGTAATTCACACCATTTGAGTGGTGTTGTGTTTAAGGGGAGATAATTTGGCAATCAAATGTTTCGATTTACTATGTTTGCTCATTAAGGTGGCTCCCCAATGGAGAAGATTTACAGAAAGCCATGGACTCTATGATGGGGAATGCCTACCTCTACGGACGCAATTGGATTGCAGCCAGAGTCAGTATAATATTTTCTCCAGAATTTTATTGGAATGGTTTGATGGTAACGTTATTTACTGTGTGTTTGTGGACAAATGATACAGCATAAAATCAAATATCCAGTGAAATGGCTTGTAAATCGCATGTATGTAAGTGATTTTATATGATAATGTTTGAATGGGATGGTGCTTTGCAAAATCTGGTATCCATGTCATGTTTTGTTCTCTCCACCTGAAAATTTATCTATTAGCCATAAAACAGTTCTTCAACTAGGTCTAATTTGTTCATACATATTTATACCTCTGGTATACAGGTACTGGTATAGTACAGTGTACTTCAGATTTCAAATCTAAGCCAAATATATGTATACTCCCAGAGGTATTTATGTATGTATTTCATCAGTGTAAACGTGCATATATATATTTAATCAATCTTTGGTTTCTCAGTTATTTACGGTATAGCTTATCAATATGTTTTATTTTGAATGACTTTGGAATGGAGTATCCAGATTTAATGCATTCCTGGTATTTACCTAACTAACATTAAATCTGCCAAAATATGTTGACGTCACCTTTGAAAATTTACCAGCACCATTTTTATACGCCCGTCAAATTTGACGGGAGTATTATGGTACGGCAATCTACTCCTACATTTTCGACTGATCTCTTTGAAACTTGGTATACATTATAATCATGATATGAAGTTGTGTCTCCCTTAAAAGAATTTTGATTCGACAATTTTTCTAAAAGTTATTGCCCTTTGTTCATTTTAGTATTTGATTTTTTTTATCCGGAGATTTTCTCCTGCATTATTATAGCATGTCAGCTAACCACTCTTTGAATGATGCAGATCTTATTTCAATGTAAGAAAGTATATAACACTATATGGCATTCGACGGGCGTATATTGTTCCGCCCCACGGTACTCTTGTTTCCAATATGAATATATTCCTTTATTGAAAAGAAAATATTACATTAGAAAAAAGTATAAAACTTGTCTATTTCAAACCAAATATTAAAGTCACATTGATGTTTGGGTTAGACAGGTTTTATTTTTTCTGTTTTCACAATCAAGTAATGATTTGTGCTTGTCAGCTGCGAGACTTTGTGAGTGGTAATATGGACAAGGGTTCCTCTAACAACACCCACATAGAGACACAAGTACTGGAGGTGTGGGACAGGCTGTACGAAAGCTGGCTCTCCAGGGTGAGTTACCATGGAAACAGGTCCACACATCATCATAATGGGGTCATTAACACATCGTAGCAGCCTTAGCCTTGCTTTCGTGAATGCTAAACATGTATTGACAGATAAAGAAAGAGACAGAGGAGCTCCAAATGTAGCCCACGGTAGTGCTGATGGACAAACATTCATCAATATTTTCCAAAATATTGAAATTGAAAACTGAAAGTACATGTATAGGAATTCAAAATTATATTCCAAAGATCTAAAATAATGAAATGTAAATGTTTTTATCATTGAAAACTTGTGTAATCAACTTGTAAAGCTAATCAGATTTGGAAAACCAAGATAGTTATGAAAAAACATGAAACCTCAATCTTTTTTCCTGGTTCTGACAAGTTGAAGTGATTTGGCTGCAGTATCACTGACACTTTGATTTCACCTCAAGCTGAGTTTGAGCTTCAATCTATAAGCTTGCACAACTTTGGGCAAACTTTATAACATCTTAACCCGCTGTTTTGGTATCTTTGATTTGATGGAAATTAATATAACTACGGTGATTTCTTCATTGAATTTCCAGAATGCCACCAGTAGCAGTCTACAGACGACTTCAGCTTTTAATGTCCTTCCCACAGACATGAACAGTGTGAAGTCTATGTGGGAAGTAGTATCCAAGGGTGACGCCTTCAACATCAGCCAGATCGTGGCCTTTGTAAAGGACAACATAGGGACATTTATGTCTGTAAGTCCAAATATAGGTCAACTGAAACAAGTGTCTACCAGATAGTTGCTGTTTAAACATACAAAAGGGTTTTGTTATTATGGATTCTGATCATTTGAGTAATACTTTCAATTTAAAGATGATATTGGATACCATGTTATGTGATTTTAATGTGTGCTGAAACAGTTTGTTTATCTAAGGTTTTCTATCTAAAGGACTGTGTTATATTTTTATTTTTTTTTCAAATGATTGACATATTGTTCCATCAATTTAGTATTTAATGTTAAACTGGTAAATTTTCTAGAGTCTATGCAACTTTTCATTCATAACAACTAAATTAGTAGTCATATTTTTCGTAGAATTTACGGTCTGAAATGAACTTAATAGAAGTGTATATATTTGTTGCAGGTTATAGATTCGGTGTGGATTGTACTGAAGGGCAACATGAACCTGGTGCTAAGCCTAGTCACAGCCACCCTGTCTGTGGTGTTTGGAGGAGGTACTGCTCTCCTCAACTTTTTCATTTCCTCAGTAAGTACCATATCTCTCCCCTTCACACCCTCAGCATTCTTAAGTCATTTAAAACCCACCACAAGCCACCATCTCTGATGTTTTTTTGGTTGTGTTTTGTTCTTTTTTTGGGTTGGGGCAGGGTGGTTATACACTCCTTAGTAAGTACCTTGCCTCTCCCCATCTCACCCTCAGCAACCCCAAGTTACTTTTTATCCACCACAAGCCACGATCTCTGATGTTTAAAAATTATGATCAAATGCATTTTCTCTGTATTTTAGGTGATTTTCCTGACGACACTGTTTTACCTGTTGGCGACCAGTGGTAACCAGTACAAGCCACTGGAGTGGTTCAGCAATCTCAGTCCTACGCAGGGTACCGGGGGCATTGGTCAGGCTGTCGAGGAGGCTATCACGTGAGTAGTTCAGCAATCTCAGTCCTACGCAGGGTACCGGGGGCATTGGTCAGGCTGTCGAGGAGGCTATCACGTGAGTAGTTCAGCAATCTCAGTCCTACGCAGGGTACCGGGGACTTTGGTCAGGCTGTCGAGGAGGCTGTCACGTGAGTAGTTCAGCAATCTCAGTCCTATGCAGGGTACCGGGGGCATTGGTCAGGCTGTCGAAGAGGCTGCCACGTGAGTAGTTCAGCAATCTCAGTCCTACGCAGGGTACCGGGGGCATTGGTCAGGCTGTCGAGGAGGCTATCACGTGAGTAGTTCAGCAATCTCAGTCCTACGCAGGGTACCGGGG